GATCAGGCTGCTATAAGGTTTGGTGCCCATGTGATAAGGTCTATGTGGAGGCGACCTGCCGACCCATTCAGAAGAGACTATGCGGACACAAAACCGCTTTTAAAGGTCCATGGATCCAAATGTCTGAACTCGCCGAACATAATTTGCCAATACTGGACACTTAATAGACTGGTCCATCACACAACGTTTTGCTGGTTACGGGGATTTCAGAGAGTTTATAAGAATTAATAAGACAGTTAACATCTTGAATAGGAGGAACGAATGTAGAAAAGTAAGTAGAAATTATTTGTAACTGTTGGATAGGCTTAGAGAGAGGGAGAGGAGGAGAGAGCATAAAGGGACACTGAACAAGATGAGGCTGAATTAACCTCTAGTCTAGCTATGACTATCAACCATCCCATGACATGAACATTACAAACACCCACGATAGACAACGGCATAGACGCAAGCACGATTGAACATTGGATGATCGTATAGTAACTTATTTGTGCAAAGAAACAGCTTCCATGGAATCCATTTCCGGTTCGGGAAGTAATTTCACTCATCGGCAAGCATGAAGGGTAAGATTGAAATGACTAAACAAATCATGGGATACTTCAGTAAGATCGCAAAGCAAAGTGAATAAAAAAGGGAATAGGGTTGCAGCCGCCAACATTTACTCTCTGTAAAGATTATGTTTTAGTATATTTCGTAAAGTATGGATTCTTGCTCTGAGGATGTCTGTCACGGTGGTAGAGACGAAATCTTAGCACAGGCTGATCGAGGTCGCAGGACAGTCAGTCCAAAGACATCGAAGCACAATACAACAGTCTTCCCGACGCGAAAATCCTCCGTCGGTTTCCGGTGAGACCACATCACGAATTCCTTCCAATCAACTTTTCCTTCGAAATGGAAAGTAGTATCACAACAATACTTATCAAGGATAGTTGACTTTGCCCAAAATAATATGAAATAGGCCCGTGTTTCCAATGAAATTCTCATCTAGACTGGACCGGACCAAAGTTTTTACTACTTTTTGAATGCTTTGGGCCAATGCATTTTTCGCTTTATGTATCTATTTCTTCTATTCACAAAATATGTCTGGTTATATCTCAATTGAACGATGGCCCTTGGTAGGTCCAGTTCGAGACCGTCCACCATTGCGCTTTTAGGCTACCTCGAATCTATCAACTCTTTAGCATGTAGTTGGTCTTTGTCGTTTGTGCTGTTCGGCTTTTGGCAAAATTTCTTTTGGCAATAACCTGGAAGTCAGTCATTAAGAGCACGAGCCTCGTTTATATATACGAAGAGTAACTACGTTTTGAAGAATCGCTTGCGAAAAAATTGTTGTCCAGGGTTTCACTTCGTTTGAAAGCGTGTGTGATGAGAGATTCGTAGGTTAGCAGCACCAGAAGGAGACAGTTGATTCTGTTGTACTGTAGGCTTTCCTACCACGTTCAGGTTGACACAGTTCACGAGAAAACCTCTTTCGTTCAGAGTGGAAACGATCTCAACTGTAATCCATCAGGTCACTTGATGGACAATGTCAGAGCTGGAACTCACTTTTGC